TTCTGCATGACGAAAGCCTATCAACCATGATGTGCTTGGTTGAATCAGTGATCAACGGACGCCCACTTACAGTAGTATCTGATGACGCGAGAGATCCAGAACCCTTGACGCCAAACCATCTTCTCCTGTTGCGTCAGAACAGCGCATTGCCAGTCGATGTATTCCAGAAGCAAGACCAGTTCAGCCGTAAAAGGTGGCGACATGTGCAGTATCTTGCGGATGTCTTTTGGCGCAGATGGATACGAGAGTATCTACCCACACTGCAGCAGAGAGGCAAGTGGAACGAGCCAGTACGGAACATTGAGGTCGGAGACATCGTTCTCATTGTTGAGGATCAACCGAGAAACCAGTGGTCCTTGGGGAGAGTCGTCGAGATCTACGCTGGTGAAGACAAGCTGGTCCGATCGGCAAAAATAAAGACAAGGTCAACCACACTCGTCAGGCCCATCCACAAGCTATGTCTGATGGAGTCTGCAGAAGCCAAGGAGAGATGAGGTATCAACCTTTATATTGGAGTGCTTTACACCAGTTTTGGAGTACGGAGTAGGCAAGAGGAGAGTATCAGTGTGTCATTTGTGGAATTTACACATGTAAATGATGTCATGCATTGAAGTATGACAGAGGTGCGAGCCTAGCGCCACCTCTTTTTTGAGCCTTTGAATTGGCCACACTCCACCCTACATGTATCAGGCTGAATCGCACACCTGTGGAGCACCGGAACAAGTCGAGAGAGAAACAGTCATCTCGGACAATCGAACATTTCTGAGTTGGACTGCGCAATCTTCGAGAACATTGCAAGACATATTTTATCCATGATTGACAATGATCAGAGTGCCACTTTAAGTTTGTCAAATCAAGTGATTTTCAGATTTATGCAAGTTGCATTGAAATGTTGCTTAATTGTGTTATAATTGTTGTTATTACTGCATATGATTACTGCCCAAATTGGATCTCATCTTGAAATTCTACTGATTGTGGTAAAACATTTTCAAGACACCGTAGGTATGTGATTTGTATTGCATGTGACAATGTTGCCAATCTCTGTTTGGATTTGATTACGCATGGTATGTTTGAATTCCTTGTGAAATTTGCTACTGCTCAAGAGAAAGTTACAGTGGAATTCTGAGTAGATGAAGCACAATATGCATGTATTTCTATTAGATCTGGAGTCAAGTTGTAAAACAAGCAGTTTTTTCTTTTGCAGTTGATTTCCCCAAGATGGATCAGTTAATGTTCAGCGTATTATAGCCACATGTTAAAATGTTCATGTTTGTTATTACTAAAGTAGCAGTTTTAGAAACTAGTTCATAGTTCAAGTTAAAGGAGCAACATAGTTCAGTGTAATTTTAGTAAATGATCATAATTTAGTATTCTCATTTAAGGGGCCGGGATGTTGCGGGTAGGAAAGTTTTCCAGTTCGTTCGTGACGTCATAGGCGTAGAATTTTCTTCGTCAACAGAGGGCGCTCTCAGCGCGCCAGCATTGTCACATTTTTGTTACGTTTGTAGAAATTCGTCATCAAAGGAGTCCTTTTTTGTTGTCATCCGTCACAATCTCTATACGGAGATCAATGGTCCAGTGCGTCCATGCATGGTGCTCTCAAAAGTGGTAAAACGCGCCCTCTTGGGTTGGAGCACGTAGCCCATACGGAGGCCACTAGCTTAGGCCCACTTGGAAGTAGAGCGTCTCCAAACCAGAGCAACTCCCTCCCAAATTCACCAAAAAAATATTCTTAATGATAAACTTTCCCGAGTGGGGACTTATCATAGCAAAGACATTTATTAGACTTTAATTAATTTGCAATATTTCCACCTTTTCCAACTGATATACTGATACATTATCGGTTGATTTTTGATACATTATCGGTTGATACAGTATCCGTTCCGTGGTGATACATTATCGGATACAGTTATTTTGTAGTTACATTATCCGTGGACATGTGATACATTATTGGATACAAATTTTACTACACTATCAGTCAATTTTTGCTACATTATCGATTAGTGATATAATATCGGTCAATTTGTGATACATTATCGGTTGGTGATACATTATCCGTTGGTTACTACATTATCAGTTGTAACACAGGGTAACAGGTGCAATATGGCTGACATAAGTTGGAGCACTTCTCATCATCTTTCTGTGCCGGTTGTAACTCTTGAGATATTTATGAAGTAATATTGACTTTTAAAATTCAAAATACTTGTATCTTGTCCTGATGGAGGACACCAAGTTGCTGTATGGCGGCATAGAGCTGTATACTCCTGCCCAGGGAGCTGAGATATGGACCCAATGAGCAAGGGTAATAATGATGTAGCGCTCAGATATGTGTGCTTTATGTGTGCTTCCTGTGACACGAAGAGTTTCATTAGCACGTGATTTTCATTAAAGAATCAAGTTTTGTGAATAGTTGGATTGCTGTTTTGTGGTGGCTTTTCTTCTTCCTGTTGGGGCGTGCTTTGCACGTGTGGCGTTTTAACAGGATTCGAAGACAGCCATCTCCTAATACGTACATGATTGGACATGTATCATTATTGTTGTGGTTATTGTCACCAGTTGATATTGTTACGGATATTGATGTGTGTTATAATACACTGTGATGTGAACTTTGTAAGGGGTCAGCCACTCTCTCTTAGGTACCCATGGGGTTTGGGTGTGCTGTATCTTCCATAGCACAACCATGGCTGTCCCCAAAATGTTGACCAGATAATTTGGTTCTGACATGATTACTCCTGGGCCTGGGTGCCCATGCATTCATTAATAATTGGCCTGGGTGCCAAATGGTAATTGATGTTCATGTACATTGGACCTGGGTGTCCATTGATTAATGTGGTTGATATGCTTGGGCCTGGTAGCCCATGGGTGCATACCTGCAAATAAACTCCCATAGACACTAGTGCTAAATGCCCATACTTCAAAATTCTTTTAAAAATACTCAAAACTCTCACAGGTATTCAAGCTGCACAGAAAAATGATGATCAATGTGTCATCTTTCATTTTCTTTTCAATTTATGGTGGGTTGACCATTGACTTTTCGAGATATTTTCACGCAAAGAAGACGACCCCTATTTTCCCCAAAGCGGAAAAGTAGCCATCTTGAAAAACGATCCCTCCACAACATGGCAAAATAGCGCCACTTTCGAGCCCAATAGCATCCAAAATGCTCAGAATTGGAAGCCCCAAGTCCGGGCCAGAGGTTCACTACCATATCTCTTCAATTCCCCAATTTTACGGCGCTCAGAACTCTCTAATATAGAATATTTTGAGGGTATAACTTTTATTCATGAGCTTGGCGGATCGATTTACCGGTGTGCACCCCCATTGGACCTGTGTGTCCATTGATTGTGTGGTTGATATGCTTGGGCCTGGTAGCCCATATATATTATTCCTGAGGCCAGCTTGCCGGTATCTGGCAAATAGGTTTCAATAAATTGCTTGAAGCTGTGGCAAGACACACAAATAATTATGTTTTGGGTTTCATTTATTAGTGAGTCCGAGTATAAATGTATTATATTGGATATAAATTGAATTCAAACCAACATTTATCATAAATCAACAATATACATACTGGAACAACGTTAGGTATAGGGTGAAGCATAGCTTTTGTACCCCAACCTGTGGACAAATACCTACTATTACCATACAAGTTACGAATAGGGACAAAAACGCAGGGACAAAACAGAAACATAACAAACAGGAGTAAAATAATTATTCATCAGACGTTATAAGAGTTAAGCAATTGAGTTACTCAGCCTGTTCCAAAGGTCAATGCCCCTGTGGACAAGGCCGTTTTTCAACATTGAAGTTCTACTGGAATAAACGTAAAGGTTTTGCTTTGAAATGCTTCTAGTATTATATGAATGAATATTCAAGGTGAAAGTAAAAAATTGCTGAAACAACATGGGAGCAAGCTATTTGAATATTTATACATGAATTTACCCAAATTTAGGTAATAAAGGTCATTAAATTGTAAAATCTTGAGGGCAGCAAATAAGGGAGTAGTGTGTTCACGATAACTAACATTACATATAATACGAATCGCTCTTTTTTTGTAAAATTAGTAGTTTTTCACATTAGGAAGAACAACCGCCCCACGTGAGAATTGAGTAATTAATGTGGAGCTGAGTAAATTCAAATGAAAGCTTTAAATTATGAACATAGAATAAAAACCAGTGAATAGAGGGGCTTTAAAAATGATAAACCCAACCCATTATCATCCTTATTTTATTCTCATTATCAACTAAGAAAACGTCAAGAAATCATCTCCGTCCTGGTAAAACTTGACAAAGTTGACTGTGACGGAGATGACAAAATTAAAAATCGAACTCGTATAGCGCCATCTACAGTTTGTTTGAAGCATGAATACCACATGTGCTTGGAAGTTTACACAATTCTGATCGTACTCATGAATACTTTTTTAGAATAAAAATATCAATAAGGGCATGTTTTAAAGCGTTCGGAGTTGACGTCGAATAAAGTTACGCACAGGCAATTTAGCTACAAGTCATGATTTTTATGGGTTTGTATTTACGATACATGGAGAAAATTTGAACACAATGCACTGTCGTATCTCATGCATGTACAAAGACCGAAGTCGTGTTTCTATTGGGTTTTTGAGGGCACTGAAGAGGTTTGTGATGGTATCTGACCGAAATCCTCGGGACAAACATTTTCCGGCAAAAACGACAACATTTCAGGCTTAATTGGTTTAGAATGTCATATTTTGAAGGATTGAATAGAATTAAGTGATAAAACCTTTCATTTAGGGGTATTTTAATGAAAAAAATTCCCTCCACCAAATAAATATAACGATCAGAATTTTAAAAAATCTTTACATTTTTTGGGGACATGGGTTTTCGAGGATCGACATTAAATATAGGAAAATAAAGAACAATACAAACTTATTCACTAGCTTTTTATGATCATTTATTATCATAATTATGTTTATTAACATAAATCCACAAAAATTCATATCATAAATTTACGCATTTTCCGTCTACATGGCGTCAAAGTATCAGGACATGAAAGTAGACACTTAACGGAGAATGACCCGCATACAATCTACTCTTACTAATACAACTCCATCAGCTCCACCTAAGCATGTGTTTGTATTTACGAGAGTTGACGGTGCACATTGGTTAATAATACTGTAACGGTCCGCCGACCCTTCGTCCCTGCCTCCAGCCAGGAGATGCCGCCGGACGGACGCTGACAGGATTAGGCTTTCCCGATGAGCGGTTACTGGGAAACCCGGGATCTTACTTCGTTTGGAGGAAGTATACCCCCAGGCATTGCAGTGGACCAGAGATACTCGCACTCAATCACTCTCACCCTATTAGGCCCAATAACTCACAGGAGACAATGATTAAGTACGTCACAGTCCTCTTTATATAACGTAACAATGGTGTTTTATTGTGTGCGCCTTGACAGGCGACTCCTATATAGGCGTCTATCGCTAACTCTAATGTGGACACAATGTTGGCCGCTTATTCTAACTCTTCCTGGCCAGTTAACTCACCAACTAGTGATGTAAAGGCAGCCCGTCCGGTGGGTCCCACTTCTGGATTAACTCGCTAGCGGATAATCAATCACAGTGCCGTCAGACCTGCATGAAACTGACTGACGACTCACCCAAAAACTAACTTGTGTCATGCGCTCCTGCTTGCGACTCCACACTTTTATATCCGCGGGCAGCGCGTGTGCATAGACAGTAGCAGCGCGGAGACCACCGACACGGGCACCAGTACCCTAGACTGGCACTATGTCCAATGTTTCGTTACAATACTATAGCGTGAATACAAAAAATATCCCGAGTGTCAATCAGCATGTGCATTTTTTTTTATTGTTCTTCTGCAGTTCGAATAGATGTACAAGCAAGAACACTTGGAAAAACAGAACCATGCACACAATCACTTGTTCATGCAAGGAGCGGATTGGGTGTAAATTCTTTCAAGTGTCTAGTTTCTTTGTTGTAGTCATATTGATGTTTGAATAGCTCATTCATTTTTTGGGGGGTACTTCATAGGGTCCTTGTAGTATCCAAACACATACACGTTTAATATAGAATAAGTGTTAAGCCACATGTCATTTCCAGGCCACCATACAAATGTACAGGTTTGACCTTTGTACCCTGTGTACAGTATTCGGGCATTGCATGTGTAGTTCCAATAAAGCAGCATACAGATTAGTCCAAACAATCTGTCTCAATCCTCCGATTCTACACTGGCGACGAGGATAAAAGGTCACCAATCCTAACATTAGGATCCTGGACAGCAACTGTGAGTTAAATCTGCAGCAAACGACCGAGGCAGTACAAACCAGTTGCAAACGTTGAGGATAGCTCAAGCGAGGATGAATACCTATTCGGCATCCACAAGGCAAGCTCAAACAAGCAGCCGAGAGTTGATGTTCAAATCTGCGGTTCTCGCATCAACGCCTTAATCGACACTGGAGCCTCTGTCGACGTCATGAGTCAGCGCACGTTCGACACACTAAAAATCACACCGCCCCTCACAAAGCCAATACACACTCGCGTATACGCGTACAACAGTGACAAGCCTCTACAGATCACTGGAACATTCGAAGCACTGGTGACGCACAAAGAAAACATATCATCAGCCACTTTCTTTGTCGTTGCTGGTAACTGTGACACTCTGCTGAGTTTCAACACAGCGTTGGCCCTCAAAATCGTCCACATTTCGTACGCAGTACAACATGATGGCGATATCCTGTCGAAATATGCAGACCGCTTCGAGGGAATCGGCAAACTAAAGGACACTAAATGCAAGCTCCATATCGACGAAACTGTAAGATTAGTTACCCAACCACATCGTCGAATTCCATTCCACGTGCGCAAACAAACAGAAAAGGAGCTACAGCGTCTCCTCGATCCCGACATCATTGAACGCGTTGGTGACGAGCCAACCCCATGGGTCTCATCGAGTCAAGTTGTCCCGAAACCCAAGAGTCCTGATCAGATCCGCATTTGTGTGGACATGCGTGCGGCAAACAAGGCAGTCCAACGCAAACGCCATATAACGCCTACAATCGACGACATCATCTCAAAAGTCAATGGAGCCAAAGTCTTCTCAAAGCTAGACTTGAATGCAGGATACCACCAAATTGAGCTCGCTGAGGAATCGAGATACATAACAGTGTTCTCCACATACATCGGACTATTCCGGTACAAGAGACTTAATTTTGGAGTCACCTCAGCCGCAGAGGTTTTTCAGAACCTCATCCAATCATCACTGCACGGTCTTGATGGTGTCATAAACATTAGTGATGACATACTCATCTTCGCACGCTCACAAGACGAGATGAACACCCGGCTCGATGCATGCCTACAAAGGTTGAGAGATCGCAACCTCACACTAAACAAAGCCAAGTGTGAATTCAATCGCGACAGCATTGCTTTCTTCGGACACATATTCAGTGCAGAAGGCATATCACCAGACCCCCAGAAGGTCAAAGCAATCCTCAATGCTTCTGATCCTCAAACCGTGAGTGAGGTACGCAGCTTACTTGGTCTCGCAACATATTGCAGCAGATTCATTCCTGATCTCGCAACAATATCTGCTCCCCTTTGCGATCTCACACGCGAATCAACCAATTGGAAGTGGACCAAAAAGCACCACAACGCGATACGCGAAATCAAGCAACGCCTTGCAACCAGCTGCTCTACATCCTACTATGACCCCGACAAAGCAACACAGCTAATCGTCGACGCAAGCCCTGTCGGTCTAGGGGCCATTCTCGCACAGACTGACAAAGATGGAAATCAATCCATTGTCGGCCTGGCAAGCAGGTCACTCACACCGGTCGAGCAACGATATTCGCAGATCGAAAGCGAAGCACTCTCAGTCACATGGGGAACTTTGCACTATCATCTCTACCTATATGGTAATAACTTTGAGGTTGTCACAGACCACAAACCGCTTGTGACACTCTTCAACAACCCCAATAGCAAGCCGCCCATGAGAATTGAACGTTGGATCCTGAAACTGCAAGAATACAGGTTCCAAGTAGCATATCAGCCTGGTAAGCTGAACCCGGCTGACTACCTCTCCAGGCATCCGCTTCCAACGACCAAGCCAGCAAGCCACAAAGAAAAAATGGCAGAACAGCACGTCAGCTTCGTAACCAGCAATGCAGTCCCAAAGACTCTCACACTGAGTGAACTGAAAAGTGCAACCGAAACTGATCACGCACTACAACTCTGCATCGAAGCCCTGAGAACGAACAACTGGAAAGCATTCATGAAGCAGGCAGTGGATCCTGACACCAAAAGCACACTGCAAAGCATGTACAAAATACGCGACGAACTGACAGTTATCCTGACAAATGACCTGATCCTGCGGCGAAACTGCATCGTCATCCCCGCTTCAGCCCAAGATCATGTCATCGAACTTGCTCACGAAGGACATCAGGGCATTGTAAAAACTAAACAATTGCTCAGGGAAAAAGTATGGTTCCCTGGCATTGACAGGCTGGTTGAACGCAAAATCAGCCAGTGCATTCCCTGCCAAGCAACATCGTCCAGCACACTACGCGAGCCACTGCAAATGTCTACCTTGCCAGCTGGACCATGGCTTGAAGTCAGTGTGGATTTCGCTGACTTACCTTCAGGCAAACACCTTCTTGTTGTAACAGACGATTATAGCCGCTATCCTGTGGTCGAAATTGTAACTTCGACTTCCGTCAAGGCTGTCATTCCGAAACTGGACGCCATATTTTCGCAATTTGGCATTCCACAAATCATCCGGTCCGACAACGGCCCACCGTTTAACAGTGGAGACTTCAAGAAATTTGCAGCATATCTCGGGTTCAAGCATCGCCGCATAACACCCTTGTGGCCACGAGCAAACGCTGAGGTAGAGCGTTTCATGCGAACTTTGAAAAAAATATACCGCATCGCACATGCTGAGCAGAAAGCGTGGAAACAAGAACTCCACAAATTTCTACGCAATTACTGCGCCACACCACACTCAACTACAGGCTCTCCACCCGCCGAGCTCCTGTTCGGACGCCCCTTTTCTCACACGCATCCCTCAGACAGACATCACAACAGACAACGCTGACCGCGAAATTCGCGAACGCGACAAGCGCAAGAAATTCAACATGAAAAAGAACCCTGAAAAACACATGACAGAGACACAAGCCAATCACTCGCGGTGATCCAGTTTTGGTGAAGCGTGATGGCTTCATCAGAAAGCAGCAAACCCCGTATGACACGAATCCATACCGCGTCGTTGACGTCAAAGGTCCCATGATAACAGCCGAACGCGAAGGACATCGAGTCACACAAAACTCTTCGTTCTTCAAAACACTCCCACACAGCATCGCTACAGACAGTGAGTCTTTTGAGCCAACAGACATCGTCCAAGAGACAGCACCTGATGAACCAACCAAGAACAATGGCACAAGCGAGTCACCAGAGACACAAACAAACACAGAACAACGCTACCCGACTCGCACTCGGAAATCGCCTGAGTACCTCAAGGACTATGTGCCATCCTAGGCATCATAGGCACACAGACCAAAGACTCTTGCCAAAGGAAACTGGACATTGAACTGTAGACAACAGACTTGTTTGCTTAAAATCAAGCACGCTTTATTAGCTGTTTCGGTGACACACCGAAACAGCTCTTGTTTTCGTTAAGATTTTTTTTTTTCTTTTTTTTAGCTGTTTCGGTGACACACCGAAACAGCTCTTGTTTTCGTTAAGATTTTTTTTTTTCTTTTTTCTTCTTTTTTTTTTGGCTTTTCCGCAAAGTTGCGGAAAAGCCTTTGTTTTTGTTCTCATTTTTTTTTTTTTTTTGGCTTCTTCTTTTTGTCGCCTAAATCCCATAGACTTTGTGCACGTTTTTTCTCAACGCCACTTTTGGCATTAATCTTTGTCATACATCATTCAAAGTTAGCATAAGCATAGTCCCTATAGCAAAGATGTGTCCCGAAGATTGACGTCATGGTGACGTCATCGACTAATTTATTATAGATTTTTGAATATTTAATTTTTCCCATAGACTTTGTACACAGAAATTAAAAAAAAATTGTCGATTTGCAAAGGGCATTTTTGACTCTTTGCCAGTAATTCATTTACACCAATCTTTGTCTAAGCAAAGACCCTAATTTAAACAACATTGTGTAATGATGACGTCATGATGACGTCATCAGGTGTGTATTTATAGGCAATTAAATTGTGACACTTTTAATATTCAAAAATGCATAAGAAATCAACCGTACACGTCCGCAGCATTTTGTTGCCGGCAAGTGGTAGAATAGGTTGAGGTCTTTATTTCATTCAGTGTGCGTGAAATCACGTGACCCTTGCTTCCGGTCGAAAAAGGCCCAAACCGGAAGTGGCTTATCATTTGAAAGTGGTAATAGATATAAACTTGCTTTTAACGGTGTTAGTCTCTTGGCCAATAGTATTCTTCAAATCAACTACCGATGACGTCATGCAATCTTCGAGCGCCCTCTAGCGACGGGTTGAAAATTAGCAAAAATGTATTTTGAATAGATGTCTGTGGCGAAGTTTGTCGTAATCGCCTAAATATTGGTGTATATGATGACCTTGACCCACTTAAGACGTGTGCGAAGTTTTAGGCAAATGACGTTATCAGACCGGAAGTTACAATAAAAATACCCTTTATTATTTGAAAATTCCTGAAAAATCAACCATGGCAGTTTTTATATTTGTTTTTACTTTAATTGTCGATTGAAGGGTAGGTCTAAAACATTTCAAAGTTTCGAGGCGATAAGCAAACTCGAACGTACCCTGCGCACGCTTAAAACTTCACGTTGACAATACCTCTGCTTCAAAACATGCACAGGACAGAACGTCCACAATGTACATGTACATGTACATGCACGTACGTTGTACATAGGCACGTACATCGTATGTCAGTCAGCTTGCAGCGCACGTGTTGCTGAGGTCAAATCCTGTCCACAGTGACCGTTTTAGCCGATTTTCGGCTAACTTTGACAGATTTTATGTTCATGCATGCGCATAGACAGGGACGTATTATAGCACTCTTGGCATTAATCTTTTTCAGATATCATTGAAAGTTGGCATAAGCATAGTCCCTATAGCCAAGACGTGTCCCGAAGAGTGACGTCATCAAGTGATTTATTATGGATTTATGAATAATTAATTTTTCTCATAGACTTTGTACACAGCTTTCTCCACAAGTCTTTCCCTATACAACACTGATATATCTTACTGAGTAGTTCTGAACTTCGGCTGAGAATTACTATGAGAAGGAAAAAGAAATCGTATTTTTTTACGCCTTTCATTTGATTGAAAATATTCCCAAGAGTTAGAATAGCAAGTAATATTTTATAAAAATGTTTCAGTTTAAAGGAAAATCACGCATTTAAAGGTGCAGTTTTTCTGCTGTGGGATTTTTAACCTATTGACTTTGTACACGTTTTCAAGCCACCATTTTCATATTTTGGCGATCTGGAATCGTCATCAAAGTTACAGCCAAGAAAGACCCTCATACAAAAACTATGCCAAGACTATGACTCACGATGACGTCATCACCTAATTCTTTATTGATTTTTGAAAATTTACGTACATATTGTGAAGTCTTATATCTACAGAAATGTAAGTCCGATTGGGTTGAAACTTGGTATGTGGCTATATCAGGATGTGTTATAGATTAAAAATGAGGTGACGTCATGATGACGTCATCCTGAGATTTTATATGAATATTTATTTGTTTGGACCTTTTAGCCTCCCTTTTAGTCTCTCGAACGCAACATGCAAAATGCAAAATTCTTTTTTGCATTTGGTCTGTTATGTAATAGCTATTTGCACAAAACTTGAAAAAAATGTGTTACGTCATCATGACGTCATCAAAATGCGATTTTGCAAAACTCATATAAGGAAAGGTCCAATTGTCATGAAACTTGGTGGGTAGGTAGTTAATCATATTAGTATAAGTTCGAAGTGACGTCACGATGACGTCATCAACAAATTTAAAAATATTTGTCGATTTTCAAAGTGCGTTTTCGACTCTTTGCCAGTAATTTATTTAGATCACTCTTTGTCCAAGCAAAGACCTTGTGCACACGCACATACATCGTATTGCCGAGGTCAAATCCTGTCCACAATGACCGTTTTAGCCGATTTTTGGCTAACTTTGACAGATTTTATGTTCATGCATATTCAGGGAATATTATTGATTAAAAAAAATCATAATGCGGAAAAGCCCTATGTTCTGTTGCAAACAGACATAGACCTCTAGTTTTTTCTTCTCCTTTTTCAGACTTTTTCTCCATAGGTTTAACACACGTTTCTTCTACCAATCCACTTTGCCACTTTTTTAAATCCGATTGATTTCAGACTTGGTACATACTTAGACCACCACCCACAGATGGTCCTAGAAGAAATTTGTGATTGTGACGTCATTAGGTGTCAGGTTACGTCACATTAAAGATGCATTTTTCCCCATATGTTTTGTACACGTTTTAAAACACTCCAGTTTGGCATCTTCGTAAATCCGATCGACTTTAAACTTAATTCATACTTAGACCACCACCCACAGATGGTCCTAGATGAAATTCGTGATCGTGACGTCATCAAGAGTCAGGTTACGTCACATTAAAGATGCATTTTTCCCCATAGGGTTTGTACATGTTTTAAAACGCTCCATTTCGGCACTTTCGTAAATGTGATCGACTTTATACTTGGTACACACTTAGACCATCACCCACAAATGGTCCTTGAAGATATTTGTGATCGTGACGTCATCAGGTGTCACGTTACTTTACATTAAAGATGCACATTTTCCCCATAGGTTTTGTACACGTTTTAAAACGCTCCACTTCGGCACTTTCGTAAATTTGATCGACTTTATACTTGGTACACACTGAGATTACTACACATAGATGGTCGTAAAAGAAATTCGTCATCGTGGCGTCATGAGGTGTCAGGTTACATCACATTAAAGATGCATTTTTCCCCATAGGGTTTGTACATGTTTTTAAACACTCCATTTCGGCACTTTCGTAAATCCGATCAACCTTACACTTGGTACACACTTAGGCCATCACCCACAAGTGGTCCTTGAAGAAATTCGTGATCGTGACGTCATCAGGTGTCACGTTACTTTACATTAAAGATGCACATTTTCCCCATAGGTTTTGTACACGTTTTAAAACGCTCCACTTTGTCACTTTCGTAAATGTGATCGACTATATACTTGGTACACACTTAGACCACTACCCATAGATGGTCCTAGAACAAATTCGTCATCGTGGCGTCATGAGGTGTCAGGTTACAACTGGAACAAAAATTTGGAAAAGCCCCATCCTCTGTTAACAGACACATATGTGAAAATTGAAGTGATATAGTTTAAAGATTTGTTTTATCTTTTCAGAATATCTAACAAACACAACATGCTCAATAAAAAAAAATTAGGAACAGGTTTGGCAGATAAACTGGAACAAAAATTTGGAAAAGCCCCATCCTCTGTTAACAGACACATATGTCTCGTTTTTTCCTCTTCTTTCAACTTGAAGCTGCCCGTCGTCATAGTCAGTACTGTTCGCATCATCAGCCTGCTGTTGATACTTGTCTTGCTGGCATCAGGATAGAATCGGAGGATTGAGACAGATTGTTTGGATTAATCTGTATGCTGCTTTATTGGAACTACACATGCAATGCCCGAATACTGTACACAGGGTACAAAGGTCAAACCTGTACATTTGTATGGTGGCCTGGAAATGACATGTGGCTTAACACTTATTCTATATTAAACGTGTGTGGATACTACATCCCTCCCAACCTTATATTCTGTTTTTCAGGAGTTTTAGATTAAAATGTACTTGTGCATCATGTGAACCTTTTTGAGTCCAATGGCTATTTAAGAATAGGTTTTTTTGAAAACTTTGGCCAGAACAATGATTGAATTAAAGATTAACAAATTAGTTACTTTTAACTAGAACAATCATGTAAACATGCAGTTATCTCACATCTGCAATATTTGCCCCCTTTTCTCTTTCTTTTTGAATTAAAGAGATTAACTGTTACAGAGCAAATAACAAAAGGATACGAAAACTAGAAATGTGTTTGTGGACAAACACAAGCTGTTTCGGATATTTGAAATACTCTCTGCACGTGATGAAAACTTGATGAAGTCACTACGAATGTCATCTGCCAAGTGAAAAGTCAATCAGACATACAGTGCCAAAGTATGATTTGAAGAAAAACGTGTACAAACCCTATGGGGAAAAATGCATCTTTAATGTGAAGTAACCTTACACCTGATGATGTCACAATCACGAATTTCTTCTAGGACCATCTGTAGGTGGTAGTCTAAGTGTGTACCAAGTCTAACGTCGATCGGATTTACGAAAGTGCCAAAGTGGAGTGTTTTATAACGTGTACAAACCCTATGGGGAAAAATGCATCTTTAATGTGACGTAACCCAACACCTGATGACGTCACGATCACAAATTTCTTCTAGGACCATCTGTGGGTGGTAGTCTAAGTGTGTACCAAGTCTGACG